GGAAAAGGAAAGCTTCAACCAACACACATACCTTGGCACCGTCGTATATATATATATATATATATATATATATATATATATATATATATATATATATATATATATATATATATATATATATATATATATATATATATATGTATCTATATATATATATATATATATATATATAGATATATATACATATATATATACATATATATATATATATATATATATATATATATATATATATATATATATATATATATATTATATATTATATATATATATATATATATATATATATATATATATATATATATATATATATATATATATATATATATATAAATATATATATATATATATATATATATATAATAATAATAATAATATATAAAACCAACACACATACCTTGGCACCGTCGTAATATATATATATATATATATATATATATATATATATATATATATATATATATATATATATATATATATATATATATATATATATATATATATATATATATATATATATATATATACATATATATACATACATATATATACATATATATATATACATATATATATATATATATATATGTATATATATATATATATATATATATATATATATATATATATATATATATATATATATATATATATATATATATATATATATATATATATATATAGACATATATATATATATATATATATATATATATATATATATATATATATATATATATATATATATATACATATATTTATATATATATATATATATATATATATATATATATATATATATATATATATATATATATATATATATATATATATATATATATATATATATATATATTATATATTTTTATATATTATTATATATATATATATATATATATATATATATATATATATATGTCTATATTAAATGAATTTTCTTTTAAATGAATTTAATATGTTTATACTGCTTATAAGAATCACTAATTTTCTGAAGTTAGACATAGCTTTGTTTTATACGTCCATAAATATCATTTAATAAGACAATCTTATGTTTATAAGATACATTTTAGAAAAATTATTATATTCTTACCATCATTGTATTTTCCCATACGTTAGTTATGGTCTTCGAACAAAAACTTATAGTTGTTATGGTCTTATGTCTTTAAATCAAAACGCTTTTAAAGATTTTGTATTATTTGCTGGTCACTAAAAATAAGCACAAAAATAAAAAAAGTTTCTTTAATCTAAAAAAATATTTTTTTTATGCTTTAAATTTTAACAAATTTATTAGTAATTAAGTAAACTGTTGTGCATTGCTGACCAAAAACTATTAGTCAATAATTTGTTTATAAAAGCAAGAAAATGTAAAATGCCACATTTTTCTCATAAGTTTTTTAGATAAAAACAATTTTTCAATTAAATTTTCATTACGTTTTAGTTAAGCAGTAGAAAATGCCACAGGTCAAAACATTACACAGGTTAGGTCAAAACATTACCAAACCTTTTTAATTGTATATATATTCTAGGTTACAGCTATAGCGCCCTTAAAAATACAGTCTCCTAAAAAGACAAAAACTATACTTCATTTAACTATTTTTAAGCAAAATTAAATTTTGGATATTCCAAAATATTCATTCAGAAAAAAGTGAATTGCAATTGTTTTTCACTTAGTTGATACAAACATATTGTTTTGATTGCTTAAAAAGCACTTTTAAAATGTAAATATTTTTGTCATTTTAAGGGCATCGTTTGTGTTAAACCTTAAGGTTTAACACAAACGATGTCCTTCTTCTTCTTCTCCGATCCTGTCATACAAAAAGATGTTAATGTCCACTGGTATGGTAAACTTGACAATGAATACAAAAAATAACTTTACATTGCAATCAGGGAAAAAAAAAAAGAAAAATGCGTGATAAGTCTATTACAAATTTATCTAAGCACTCATTAAATAACAAGGAGTTGGACCTGTTAGATAGGGGTCTTAAATTCCCATCAACCCCTCAAAAACCTATTTACAAAACATATATTTAGAAGGAAGCAAAATTTAAAAGAAGAGTTTACTGCAAGATGATCTTTGAACAACAACAAATATTGGCTAAATGCAATAAGAGAAAATTAAGAAATCCTCTCACACAACTTAACCCTACCTGGACACCACAAGCAAACAAATATCCTAAACTAAACAACTCTTTATGATCATTGATAACGAGGTAAAAAAAAATCACCTCTATTCCAATATTTGAGGAAAAAAGCAACTTGAAAAGGTAAAGAAAACAAGGCTATAAAAGCGCTAAAGAAAAATTCAGACATCACATTTAAGAAAACAGATAAAAATGGACGAAAATGCATCCTTGATACCATAGTATACGATAAGAAAAATACTTGATATGCTAGAGGATAGAAACACGTATAATGAACTAAACGAAGACTCAACCATTCACATTATACATAAAATCATTAAGGAAATCAATTACTTAAAAAACTGACTCATAATTACAGAAAAGATTGCGGAATTTATGCTACCAGGGGCAAACGTTAACATCAAGTTCTTAGAGCACCTTTCCACCTATTATTTCGACAATTTATTCTAGTAGACTACTAGACTTAATACTAACTAATAGTTTATTTATGTTTGACAAACGCATTGTTAGTCAGAAGTTTGGGACCTCAATGGGGACAAGAATAGCCCTTTGTTATGCAAATATATTTATGGGAGAAATAGATGAACAGGTTTGCTTAAAGGATAATAAAAGTATAATTGTTTTTAAAAGGTTCATTGATGATGTCTTTGTCATTTTCAACGGAACAACAAATTAACTGGAAAATCTAAAAAAGTTTATGAACGACCTCCACGAAAAAGTAAAGTTTACCTTTAATACCTCATCTACATCAAATAACTTCATGGATTCTAGAAAAAAATAACGACATCATCTCTTTAAAATTATATAAAAAACTAACTGACATATTGTCTCTACTAATTTTTTACTCAAATCTTTCTAGACATCAAAAAAATGGTATAGTGTATGGTCAGGCTCTGCGACTAAAACGAATCATATCTAATGAAAAAAATCTAATTTTAAATGAAGAAAATCTAATTTTAGAGCTAAAAAACCTAGCTAGAACATTAATTGTTAAAAGATACCCATTAACCACAATAAATCACCAATTCTACAGAGCTCTTATCAACACACAAAAGATGTTGATTCTTCTTGATAAAAAATTCAAGAATAATAGAGAAACAAAGAAAAAACCTGCCAACAGAATCCCTATTGTACTCCCAAATGATCCGATCGGAAAAGAAATAGTGAAGTCTTTTAATAAACACAGGCATCTTATTGGGAATGATCCTTATTTAAAAAACATCTTCAATGAATAAACCATTAAAAGTTTCAACTAACCGGAAAATGGATCGACGATCAACTCATCCATACAAAACATCATAACTATAACTAACTATCATTAATAGTAATAGCATTTGTATAGGTGTTTACGATATATAAGTCATAAATATAATAAAACGTCTTGTTATTACAGACAATATTAAAGTTTTTAATACCTCTCATTTTATAAATAAATTCATTTTTTAACTACCTATAAATAAACTCATTTAGTTATTTTCCTGAAAATGTTGTGTAATAACACCATTTAATGACAGACAATCACAGCGCCTTACTTCATTGTGCTGACTATCATTATCACTGGCCTGCTTCGGCCTTATCCTTGCTGCTGCCTGGTTGATCGGGTCCTGCTGTGTGAGGTCAGCGATAGGGCTTTGTTTTCGATATGTCAACGTACTGGGGATATATTGATTAATTTAAAGGGTACAATTGTTAATTTTACAACGTATGTTGATGCGAGGAATCGTGTCTGTCGCATTTATTTAACTTTTTTAACGATAAGCCTCAGATCTTATAAATTATTATAAAATCATATATATATATATTTATATATATATATATATATATATATATACATATACATATATATATATATATATATATATATATATATATATATATATATATATATATATATATATATATATATATATATATTATATATTATATATATATATATATATATATATATATATATATATATATATATATATATATATATATATATATATATATACATATATATATATATATATATATATATATATATATATATATATATATATATATATATATATATATATATATATATAAATATATATTTTAATATAGACATATATATATATATATATATATATATATATATATATATATATATATATATATATATATATATATATATATATATATATATATATATATATATATATATATATATATATATGTCTATATTAAATGAATTTTCTTTATTTTGGTCGTCAATTTTTGCAATATTTATAAATAGAACTAAAAAGTCAGTTAAAAAGTGAAACATAAACCAAGAAAAACTTTTTTTTTTAATTACATCGTTAATTGTGTCAACTTTTCATGAATATACTTTTATTGATGACTCACTTCATCAATATATTTATATTGATACATTCTATTTATATTGTTACTTTCTATTTAATATGTTTATACTGCTTATAAGAATCACTAAGGTTATCGTTTTTAGTTGCAATTAAATTGACTTGCCTTAATAATCTTGATTTATTTCTAGACATTTGCCTTATTATTATTATTTTTGATATTTATAAACTATTAAAGCTCTAGTTGTCAGCGCCGAATCAAGGAGGGTAGGGGGGGGGGCTAGGGGCACTATAGCCCCAGGTTCCGCAAATTTAGGAGCCCCAAAAAATTTTTGAGGACGTTTTTTTTTTTATGTCATTTTTAGGCTCTGGCCCATAAAAAGGTCTCAAAAAACAAAAATAGTCCCGGGTCCCGAGAAGTCTTAATCCACCACTGCTAGTTGTATGTTTCCAATTTTTCATCTGAGGCTAAAGAGTTTGTGTTGCATAAAAGTAAACAAATTTTTTATGTATATAGCCATATAAGAAGTTATAATATTGATCTTTTTCTAGACATCTGTCTAATAACGTATATTGACCTTATAAATGTTTAAGTTTAAGAATAGGTTTCCTATTTTTCATTTATAGCAGACAATTCTGTGTTGCATGAAGGTAACCTGACTTATCTTGTTTTTTACCATATAAGAATAGGTTGAGTTGTTTATTTTATTTTTTATTTTTTTAGAACCTAACCGATACGTTCTTATTGATTATTTAGGTAGCTAACATAATTGAACTAGCTCCATGAATTGTTTCTAATTGACTAGGGTGCATTTTGCATTTTGTATGCAAATGTTCGTTTTTTATAAATGCTGCATTGATGCTATTGATGCTTATTTTCACAAATTTATACTTCGAAAATATGTAAAACATTTATTTATTTTTTATTTTTTTGTAGAAAACCCCTAAAACAAACTTGGTAGCCGGAGATTGTACTAAGGACAACAGCCCCATCTAACTTCTAAGTAAAAGAAAAAGACCTAGCTCAAACCTTTGGAACGCAGCAAAAAGTCGGATTGCAGCCTTTTCACAAGATGAGGACATTACAAAAAGAGCTGAAAAAGAAAAAAAGAAAGAAAAGAGCAGGAACAAATAATAAAGGAAGATACGATAACGGAAGTAAATGAAACACTAGAGTTTCTGTCAGAAAATCTTAAAACATTTCTGAACGAGGATATTATTGGCATTTATTATAATACCATAATTAGAATAGTTATAATATACAAATATATTACCCTACTCTAAATATTTTACCCTACAAATTTTGCATTTATACAATATAATGGATTCAAAGAGAAGATCAACAAAAAGTATATATATATATATATATATATATATATATATATATATATATATATATATATATATATATATATATATATATATATATATAATATATATATATATATATATATATATATATATATACATATAAATAATGTATTAATGTATACAGGGCCGCCGAGAGCTGTCACGCCGCCTGGGACAGCAATCATGATTGGCGCCCTTATTTATCAAATTTTCGATATATTATATATAATGGATTTTTTTTTTCTGTACATACAATTTATTTGGCATCCATTGGATAACTCCCGCCCGGGATAAACTGTCCCGCTGGCCCCCCTATTTGTTATGAAACTTTACACTTTAATAAATAATAAACTATAGTGTTACGGCCATATATAACACAAAAAATATAAGACTAAGTAAGATGCAGCCATATAGTTGCATCTTATTTATATTTTATGTATAAGTTGAACTAATAGACTATTTAAATTTAGTAATATGCGTGGTTTTTTGTTAATGGTCGTATTGTTTATGATAAATGTCATGAAACTGTTACAAGTAGAAACAATGCTGATTTAAAAGCCGGATTATACTTCAACAAGATAAAATGGTCGGTGCCATCATCATACACGAACTAAACTGTTTGACATTAAAGATTTAGACATGATTCAGGGTTTTGCTCTTGATTAGTGCCCCAATATTTAATGGTTGTTTATCAGCACCTTTTTTAAAAGAGATTTCTCGTTTACTCACTAATTTAAATGGGATATTGCCATCAAATTTTGTGCGTTAAACAATATCTTTAGAATATGTCAATAGATGGAAAGCCACAAAACTAAGAACATTCTTACTATATGTGGGTGTAGTTGTTTTAAAGGATAATCTAGATCCTAAGATGTATGAACATTTTCTCAGCTTATCTTTAGGTTGAATATATATGGATGTATATGTACTGTTAGTATGCTGTGTGTATGCGCTGTTGTGGGTGTGTATGTGCTGGTATCTATGTATATTCATCAGCAGCTTACTTTCTAAAAGTCGTGCATTCTACTAAAGTTGCTGCTAAAAGTATAGATGAAAACAAATATTTATGAGACACTAAGTATACTCTGAAGTGTGAATAATTCTAATTTTAGCAATTTATCGCATAATGGTTTTCCTAAAATGAACTAAATGTTATTAAAGAATGATAGAAATCAAATACTATATAGAATACTAAAATGTATTATTTTTAAAAATTGGATTATGATATTTTAAATAGCCAAGATATAAATAACCATGATCACAATTAAAAAAAAAGTAAAAAAAAGCTCTTTTTGGGAAAGTTATTTGATTGATTGCTACAATCAACATAAATTTCGTGAACTTTCTAAACACAGAAAATTCATCAGCTCTACCAGTTTAACGAAGGATTACTGATAAAACCGATTGATATATAAAAAAACAAACAATAATAAAAAAAACAAAAAAAAAACATTAAAGCTCAATATCATATAAGCAAAATCATTTCAGTCAGCGGTTTCTAGGTGACATCACGGTCTTCTACGATTTTCTAACGATATCTTTATTTGTAATTAATTTAAATTAATATAAGATTACTTTTTATTTTACTTATATTTGTTTAAAGACTGTAATAAAGAGAGAAAAAAAAATCTTATAGCCATTTCTGCAAGTATTTGATACCATAATTTTTTAATTTTGATATTAAAAACCGTGCTCCATAGAATGCATTTGAAAGGTCAACAAACACACCTAGTACTCATTTTTAAGATAAAAACAACAAAGTAAATAAATAATAAATAAATAATAATAAAAAAAAAAAATAAATACTAATAAAATTTTTTATCAATAAAAATTTTTATTCAAAAGTATTTCAATCATTATATTAAATCAACAGTGTTTATTTTGAATGTTTTTTTTTTTTTTTTGAAATACTTGAAAACAGCAATTTTATTTATCATGTCTAACTTTACATTGCGTTTCCGAATAAAAAAAAAAAACTGTGAAAATAAGCAAATACTGTTTATATAAAAACAACAACAACAAATTGCATAAAATAGCCGTTAAACAAGTCAATACGCTTTATGGCTTTAAAATTTTTAAAATTCTTTAAAAAAGTAAAAACTTTTACAAGTAAAAAGTAAAAGTACTCGGTGTAGTTAAGTCACTTTTAAAATATTATAAAGTCTGTATGATATTTTGTTGACTACGAAATATTTCCGTTAAATGGTCTGATCTGTGAATTATCAAAAGACGAAAAAAATTAAAATAATAAATTTTGCGCTATCATAAAATAAAAATGTTTGTAGCGAAAAAACACAGACCGTGGAATATTTAAAAAAACAAAAAATCATCTTAAAATCACAATCGCTCGTCCAAATTTAAATAAGATTTTATATTAATACGTTTTTTAGGTGAAATGAACATTATAGTTTAACAATATGATCTATTCTGATCGTTTAATGGCAATTTTTAATAATTATAAGCTCTCTCTTGGTCGGAATTCCAGTATTTTTTGTGAAAATTGATAGAAATATTGTGTTTTGACAACTATATGTAGTTAATATAAGTCAGAACCGATTAGAACTAGGATCAGTAGTAAATTAAGAAACTTTTTAAAAAGATTTTGACTAAATTCATGTCAATGCCGAAAAGCGAAATTAATCTAAAGACTCCAAAATAGTGTTCTTTAGACCTTTTTGTAGAACTATATATTTGTTATTAAATTTCGCCATTTTAGTACAAACTTCTTTTAATAGTTTATAATAGTCAAAAAAAATTGATGGTTTGAAACATTTACACCCATACCTTTAATATACAAACTTTGGCTTTTGCTTCCTCACTAATTCTTCTTAGATAATTTCACATTTTCTTTTAAACAAATAATCAAAAACTTTTTGAATTTAAACTTTATACTATAACTTTTTTTCGACTATTATTATTATTATTATTATTTACTATTTTTTTGATTTCATGTTCACTTAACTTAAAAAAAAATATTGAACTTACTGCAGTTTGTTTTTACATAATTTCAAAAACTCATCTTCACATAACTTTAAAAATGTTTTACAAAGAATATTATGCAACTCATGTTCACATAACTTTAAAAATATTTTAAAACTCACGTTCTTCAAAAATGTTTAACCGATTAAAATTACAATAAAACAATAATTAAAGAAGAGCCGCATTTTTAAATACTGCTTGAACTAGAAAGTTACAAAAGTAGCCCAAACTTTTAAAAAAAAGTTTCTAATATTATTTTCTCAATAGTGAAAAGTTTTGTGATGGCTGAACCTGGGTAAAATCTTTTTCTAGCTGATCAAACTTTATTTTTAACAACTTTTTTAAAATAATAATAAAAAAATGTTAAACATGCAAAAAATTGTGGTTTTGTAAATTTTTTTACTTTTTAAAATCTTTTTATTTAATCCTCTATATTTGGTGAAAATATTTTAAAAATTGATTTTTCTGTGACGTTTTTATTGAAACACGGTTAATTAAGTTTTCCGAGGAATTTTTCTCAGAAAAAATTTAATTTCTTCAATTTTTTAACTTCTTAGCGTTTTAAAATAACTTTCTAATTTTAAAAGTTTAAATTTGATGTTAACTTGAAATAAGTTAACTTTAAAATAATCTTTAATATAAAACAAAGTTTGTTTATGCATTTACTGCATTGTTCATTATCGTCACGGTAACTATTCTCTAAGTTGTTTTTAACAGACTATACAATATAATTGCGCGTGTCATTAAAAGTAGTTTTACTTAACATACATCATCACACGAGTGTATCATGGAGAGATTTTCTTTTTCTAAATCAAACTGTTTGCTGAAGATTTCTTTGCTTTCGTAACTGTAGCAAAAACAGCTGATACAGCATTTACCGGGTTTTGCATCCATTTAAAACTACCATGACATTGATTTAAAACAACGATGGAGTTCATTTAAAACATCATGACAATCAATTAAAAAAACCGTGAAACATTTAACGCATGCGCAATCTCAACATTCTATATTATTCAAAAAAAAGTTTTTTTTTATATATTTATTTATTTTATTTATTTTTTATTAATACTATATTAATACATATAAAATTACTTGTCCAATTTATGAAAGGATGAAAACAACGATGAAAAAAATCTTCGAATTATATATATTAGGTGGTATACTTCAGTTTCACCTATTTATCGCTATTGAAATATTATTTTTATTGATGAAAGTCCATTTAATTTACTCATGTTTCGCAGTCATTCATGGGCAAGAAGAGGAATAACACCAAACCCAATAATTTGCCCAAGGCAGCGTAACATTTCGATGATATTGGTCGTCAATGGTTTAAATATTATTCACTTTTTTCATGGACAGAGGAAAAATTCACCCTGGTGATGGATAATGTCAGAATCCATCATAATGTTGAGATTATGGCTCAGAACATTCAAATAAAATATTTGCCACCATGTTCACCATTCACGAATCCGTGGAAAGAAATTTTTTTTTATCTTAAGAATAACGTGCGAAGAAATACAGCCCCGGTTGAAAAAAATGAATTAAATACAAAAGGTGTGAGGCATGCTTATCTATTCCTAATGTTAATTTATCGAACTATTATATACACTGCGAAAGCTTTTTCTAAGCGTGTCTCAGGTCAGATGACATACCTCGGCAGTAATTGGAAAATGAACATTAAATCTTAAATAAAATAAAATTGTAAATAATTTTAAAAAATTGAATGAAAGAAGCAAATATATATAGTAAAATAAAAACATGCTATCAGACAAATAACTATTAAAAAATAGAATGATCTACCAGACAAAATACTTAAACACGTTTGTTAAACTTTGTTTTTTGCATTGGTATCCATGTCACATTGAATTTGTCTTTTACACTATCAAATTGCATGTCGGAAACAACGCAGACTTTTGGCTTTTCAGCTGAACTGTTGACAAGTACAACATTGTTCAAGTAATTTTTGGAGATGGTAAAGTCCCAAAAAATCAACCGTTTCATATGGCACGTTACTTGGAGTTCATTGGCATTCGTTTTGTTTTCTTCCTCTCCCATTTGATAAATTTTTTTGATGGATGGACAGAAGAAATTCGGTTGATGAAACCAAAATTATTCTTATTGAAGTTCGAAAGGTGTACATTGTTTGTTTCTGCTCCTGTTTGTCCACCTTTGAGTAGAGCATGTCTTCTTTGATAACTTTTTAGAAAAAGTCAGAATTAAAATAGGCAAGTAAGAATTACACTTTTCAAAATTAAGTCAGAATTAGAAAAGTCTAAGTTAAGTTTGAATTATAACGCACATTGGCGGTAGAAAAATCTTTTCCCGCATCAAACTGTTGCGGATTTTTGCGTGCACACGATGTCCGCCTTTTCCTCTAAATTGGATAATAATATGCATATGCAAGAATTTTTGGCAAAGTTTTCAGGAAACTGAGTAAACAATTCATCAAGAGAAAAGCAAATATCTTTGGAAATTGATCCTATCGAAAATCCCAGTAATCCATCAAGCAATCCTTAATGTTCATATGTGCCGAAATCACCACATGGTAATGACCTGTATAAATATGTAACATAAATTTAAGTGTATATTATAAATATATAGTTCTTATATAAACTTACATGTAAGTTTAAATAAGAATTACTCCAATCTGGCAGTTTCCATTTGAGCTCCATCATTTTTCCAAATCTTAGCGATTCTGCCAGTTTAAAATCAAGCTTTGAACTTGACAACTTTTGAAGTACAAATTTTATTTTTGATTTAAATCCAGATGTGAAGCAACATGTTTTAGAAGTTTCTCCCTTTTTATTTCTTTCTTTGAATGTTTAGCAGCGGTATCTTTCATTCTTTCTTTGATTTCCAGATCCATAACTAATTTCAACAGCAGCATCATTATCAGCAATTTCGTTTTCCGCAAAATTGCTAAAAAGTTGTTGAAAAAATGCAGCATGCGCTTGAATAATAGCAGCTTCTTTTGCAGGTAATTCATCGCCATTAAAAGTCTCGTCATCTTCATCACTACTAGTGCTACTACTGCTAGTTTCAGATTTGACTGATTTTCTTCCTGCTTAACGGAAGCAGCGCGTTCAACAACTAAATCTAAAAATAGCGGATAATTACAAATGTCATTCGAATTATGGCCATGTTCGATAAATGAAGACAGCTTCTACTTCTTTTTCTACTTTTTGCAGCAGGTGGATCATTATCAAGTGAGCAGTCTTTACTAGACGGGTTATAGTATATATTCTTTTTGTGTTAATTTAACGATATATTGTATTATTGTTTCTTTAACGCGGTCGAGACTGGCTGCTCAATTATTAGTTGACCCCAAGTTCATGTATTTGTTATCCAATGAGTAGGTAGAAAAATTACCATCTGCTTCACAAATTCCTGTCGAAATTTCGGCCAGAATTTGTGACTTTAAGTTCATTCTAGTTTTTAATATAAATTATTTTTTATGTTTATATTAAAAAGTCACCACTTTATGTAATTCTCCACACAAAAGCGCAACAAGCGATAAAATAAAGTTATTCTAAACCACATATCTGTAGCTTTGCCTAATTTTATTTGCAGTAATCACTTATGTAAAGATTTCTAAAAGTTTAGGAGTATTGTGGTGCAAAAAGAGTTGCTATCCAGCTTTGGGCAACAAACAAGTTCTTTTTTCATCAAAAACATCACCTGTCTCTGTCAATAGTCTCATTTTTAATGTTTCATAACTTTTGAAAAAATTAAAAGGTATAGGATGCCTAACACAGTAAATGTTTCATATGAATGTATATGCGTATATACACACACACACAAGCACTGTAACCACGTGCGACCGTGGCGCAGTGGTTACAGCGCTTGCTTCATTAATTCCGGCAAATCCAGTTTCAACCGGATTTCAAAATTTCCAATCCGGTACCACTCAAATTAGGTCTTCTTGGAGGACCTAAATAATAAAAAAACAAACAAAATTTTATCAACGCTACTTTTACAAAAACACCCGTCCTCATGTAAACATTCTTTCATATCAAGTATTTTTAAACTGTTAACTGTAACTGTAACTTGATATTATTTATTACTCTTTATATTTGCTATATTTGTTTAAAAAGTTATGTTTATTATTCTAGTGGTTAATAATAATAATTATAATAATATTATTGTAGAGTTTAATTTTTTTTTCAACTCTTTCTGAAGTAGTTTTTTTAAGGAGGTCGTGCAAACGCTTTTTTGTTTTATATTGCTTTTTTTTAAATATTTATCTGTTATTATATTTATACATTTTACCGGTTTGCAGTTCGCTGTTCACATTTTAACTAGTATCTTATTTTTGTTTAAATCCAATTTTGTAGTGTTTTCTTCTGTTTGAGTCGTTATAATTTTCAAATTTTTGAAATTTATTTCAAAGTTTTCCTAAAAATTGAAATATGACTGAAAAAGCCTTCGATTGTGATGGAAATCTAATCGTGCTGTCAAAACTAATGGTTTGTAAAAAGGGTCTTAGCTCACGATCTGATAAGATTTTGTGGAAAATACATCTTGAAAGAACTGATTGCAGATAATTTGATTGCAAAAGCTCATTATGAGCGCAATAAAAAACATGTATGGGCGGTTGTGATTTTTTCGAGTTTCATTCCTGTTCCTTCTAAATACAATGGAAAGCCTGAAAATTTACGTGTCAACAATGCTGCTACTTTCTTCACCACTCCGATTTTGTCTACATAGCAATCGGAGTGTGGCAATTTTATTTTGTTTTGTGACATTTTGTTTCCTCATAACGGCGCCTATACATTTACAACGATCGAAAAATCCCACGGCAAGGACTCGTTTCCGGGGATCGATTTCAAAGAGTATTTATTACCTATCGTGTAGCACAAAATTCAACATTTGCAATCGTGAGTATAATTCGAATTCCATAAGATTCTTTTATGTATGAAATATATTTTTAATTGATCCCAGCTATGTTTTTTAAATAGTGCGTTGAGTCAAAAGGAAATCTAAGTTATTTTGCATGTTTTTTTTTTAATGGATTTGTTGAGTGAAAAGAAAAATGTCAGTTAATTCGGGTAACTTTTTTTAATGAATGAATGAAGAAACAAATGAATGAGTGAGAATTAAAGCCAAAATGCATTTGAAACAATAGCTACCAATTCATTGAAAACTGTGGAAATTTAATGTTTTTAAATACTTTTGATATTATCTTCATAAATGTTTGATATTTATGCTTGTTTATTAAAATTATTATAAAATCTGTTTTTTTTTTAGGTATAATTAAATTCAAGTATAATTAAAGATTGCATTATTTATCATGGCAGGATAATGTTACTGATGATAATACTATTTACAAGCTAGAAAGTAAGTCAAATTAACAATTCACTTCAGTTCAATAAAATATAGGAATTTATGAATCAAATTTAGGCTTGAATAGATTCTAGTTAACTTTTTGTACTATAAGCTTTGTCAGTTTCTGACTCATTTAGTATATTCAATGACGATCAATTGTGAAATCACATGACAATATGAAATTTTGATAGGCTTGGTGTGCATCTTAAGAACATGTTGGTTTACATCTTTAGAACATGAACAAGTATTATTAAGCAATTTTTAAAAAGTTGATTTATGGTTAGTTAAAATGTTGTATAACTTTTATTAAAATTTTTTTAGAGCGAACAAGTAAGATATTTTTCACTTATGTTATCTTTTTTTAATACTATTTTTTTTAAAACTATTTTTTTTTTTATGATAAAAGCTTTTGTTAAAAGGCTTAATAATTTTAATTTGTTTTATTAAATTTTTTTTATTTTTTAGTTCTACTATTGCCATTATTTTGTTTCAGTTAGTTTACTGTTAGTTATGATTTGCAATTTCGTAAATTTTATTACTTCAAACTTACTTATATAATTATTAGATAACAATTCCATTCAGCACATTAAGGTTGTAATAGTTTTATTTACTAATAACACAAGAACAGGTTTATATATATATATATATATATATATATATATATATATATATATATATATATATATATATATATATATATATATATATATATATACACACACACACAAATACAGCATTAGGCGCAACTGATGACTTCATACTGATTTAGGGATAGGCTAGGGCTTCAGTACATTTATTGACTGATTCAGAAGAACTTGCATGGGAGTTGAGAAGACATGGGCATTGGGGTAGGGGAGGAATCAATATTTTTTATTATTCTTCATTTTACAAAACATTATAATACTTACAAAACATTACATATGAAATGTTTTGTATGATAATGATAATATTATCATTTAAAAAACCTTGTTGTATAAAGCATTTATAGGTAATTTTTAAATTTTATAAAATATTTGTTTTCTAATTTTATTCCATCAAAAAAATAATAAATAAATATCAAACAATAACTACGTTTTAAAAATTGTTATATATGCTGAACGTGTAATGTTTATGCATAGAACTTACCCTAAATATATTTCTATAAATATGTGCATATATAACATCCTTTGTATGTGCTTATAAAATGCATAAAAAATTTATATGGTCTTTCTATTTTAGAAACATTGGTGTGACATGCAAAAAAGTTATATTTGGTCAATACGTTGATACTCGATCATTTGAAGAGAGCTCCTTATAGAATAGCATAAAAAATATTTTATAATGTTTTTGAATACTTTCATTATAAACAAATACAAAATAATTAAACTTTTGGAAAAATTTTTTCGTAATAATCTCTATGCAGATTTAGGTTTCTTTACCTAAATTTGAATCGGCAAAAGTTTTTTCAATAAACTAACTGTATAAAAAATTGTTAAACGTTTACAAAACGTTCTTGTACCCACTGGACAGTTACAGTCGACAAAGTAATTTTAAGACTGAAAGTAATTCCTACTTATATGGCGACCGGAAATTTACTAAAAAAATATTTCTAATTCCTGTATTGATTTGAGTAATCTAATTCTTACTTATTTCACATTTGCTAATTCCCAATTATATACTGAAAAATTAATCGGAATCAGTGCAACGTGGAAGTCGGAATTACGTTTTTTAACAAACTCGAAGAGTCCAATTCCCAATATAAAAATTAGAAAGGGTTCTAAGGTCGGTTTCAATTTCTAATTTCGAGTTTTGGTCTTACAGGTTAGTATAAAAAGTTTTTTTTATCAAGTAAAAAATACGTAGTATTGAACAAATTAGATTGGGGAAAACCGGGGCTAGTTGGTAGCAGGAGAAAGTTAGTTAATCTTCAGATCCTTTTATCAGAAAGTCACAAAAATTACACCTTTCTAATTAACCATTTCATCATTCATTATATATAGAGATATTTTGACTCTATTTATAATGAATGATGAAATTATGTTTACTTTTACCTGGAGGCAAGTAAAGCAGTCGTCACAATGAGATGTTCATTTTGTACATCAAATCAGAGTCGTTGATGAGATTCTTTTTATTATTATGTAAATTTTTATGTAAGATTGACAAAGTTTTGAAGGGTGAACCCTTTCTAAATCTATTTACTTGATGTGAAACATCTTTTCAATTTTATATTTTTGAATGGCTCCTATTGGGTAGTTTTTTTTCCCAATAAAACGACCACAAACAATAAAAAAAAGATTTGCTTTCATGAAATGCAGATCTATCTATCTAAAAAAAAAAACTCTAACCCTAACCCTTACCCTGATAGAGAATTAAATTCAAACCACGTTTTTAATTTAAATTTAATACTAAGTTCATATTTTTCGTAAAACATTAATTTTACTGACTTTAAGACTTCCGCCCTAGACAACATTTGCCGAAAAATCTTCAAGGAAACGAAATATTTATTAAAAAAAGTAAATACAATTTCATAAATAAAAACAAAGTTGTACCACAAGTAAAAAATTTCATATTGCTACAAATCAATCAAAAGATAAAAGATTAGATCTTGTAAAAATTTATATAAAGATGACTTAAGAAAATGTGAGTTTTGAACGAGAAAAAAAAAATTGTGTCCTAAGATTAGTTAAAAGAAATGAAAAGATAAAAGATTTATATCACTTTTAAAAAAAATTCTTTTTAAAAAAAGTTTAACCTTCAAATATATAAAAACTAAAAGCTCTACTCGCTTGATTGCGAAACCTGCACTTATTATTACGTAAATGTTTGTAGCAATGGTTTACAGAATGCAATGGTTTACAGAAGCTTTAACAATATATTGTAGTGAGAATGCTGTAGAGCACATTCTTGCAAGCCTTCAAACTGAAAGCCTTCAAGCAGGAATTAACGCAGTGTTTAGGAATCCGGAAAAAATGTTTATGACTAATAATGACAAAACTTTATTTGCAGAAGCAACAGTTAGCTACATCTCCAATTGAACTCCTAATAAAGATAAAGTTAGAGACTATTGCCATATAAATGGGAAATACCGAGGCACTGCTCACAATTAGTGCAACCTCACGTTTCGCATTAGACCGAGTGCAACTAAGGTCCCTGTGGTTTTCCACAATTTGCGCGGAAACGATTCTCATTTGATCATTTCATCTCATTTGATCATGCAAGCTCTTAGCTAAGCAGATGGAGGTAAAATCAGCTGCATCCCAAATACTATTGAGAAATACATAACGTTTGGTTTGGGTCAATTGCAATTTATTAACAGTTTAGAGTTCATGAGCTCATCTCTCGATACTTTAGTAAAAAATCTTTAACTTGACGACTTGAAAATATACCGAATTGGAATACCAGTTAGTCAGATATAACTAAACGTAATGGATTTTACCCTTTTAAATACGTCGACAGCTTTAATAGATTTAACAAACGAAGCTTACCATCTCAAGAAGCTTTTTACTTAATTAAGAGCTAAGGCTAACTTTCGAAAAAAGCATCTTTAAGCTGATGAACCAAATTGTGTTTGGAAAGAATATGGTGACCTTAAGAAAGATCGTACGTGTTTTGAATTTTTTTGAGAAAGTGAAAAAAATTGGCTGAGAAAGCTTGTTGCTAACCCAGCTTACCTAAGCATTAAAATATGTCTTAGACTTCAGCAAACACTTAATGTATTAGTTCTGGTACAACCAATCTAAATTAAAATACAACCAAAAAACACAACTACTTTATACCGATACTGACAGTTTATTTTTCAAAGTAGAAACTGAAGATACTGACAAAGATATGTAAAAAAATTCTGAACATTATGACTTTAGTGAGACTTCATTCAAGAGTTTATTGCTCTACGACCTTAGATGTGCTCTGTTCTTGAAGCTGAAGGATATAACAAGAAGAAAGCAAAGGAGTTTGCATGACTGTTGTTAGAAAAGATTTTAAGCATAAGTCATACATAAATAGCCTAGACGAGAAAAATGAGCTAAAACATAAAATTCATGATTCTAAGTAAAGAACACCAAATTGGTGTATACAAGCAAGTTGAAATTTCTTCTATTGACATTAGTCGATTGATCGCTCCAGATGGAACTATAAATTTAGCATTTGGTCATAAGCTTACTTAACTATTCTATCAGAAGGTAAGTGGGTTCCAGACGGCATAAGTTTTACCATTTGCAAAAAAATTGTCTATTTGATCCATCAACAAGACAATAAAGAGCTGCTTGATCTATTTGTTAAATCACTGAACCAATTGAATTATTTTTTTCAAGGCCAAATAGCTCACCTGGAACGTACACGTAACAAAATTTTACTCTAGAAGAAATGAAAATTTCTTTTCTTACAGTAAAAATGCAAGAGGTTTTTTAAAAAAAAAATAAAGCAAACACCTCATTGAGGTAGGAAATAATATACATTTTAAATAAAACTATTTTAATGACCGAATCAGTACTTATTGAGGGAAAAGCAAAAAGTTATGAAACTATAAAGAATTTAGATTAGCTTTTAACATTTGGAATGAGAAATATTTTTTATCATTACTGTTTTTTATATATTCGCTTGTTATATCTTGGTCAGGAGCTAATATTTGCCGAACAGCAGTATCAGCTCTAAAAAAATTAAGCCATTCATTTTTTTTATTTGGTATTGCTTTAGAGCGGCAACTTTTTTTCATTTTTTCAACAGCTTCTTGAGCTTTATATTAATTTTATCATTACGGGCACCCTTGCTCAATATAGATATTTTTCTAACATTTCCGTAAGGCATCTATATTTAGTAGTTTATTCGGCAATATCAGCATGAACACCATCATTAACCGCGAGGCATGTATATCTACCCCATGGATGACGAGCATTATGTAACAAAATGGTTATTTCTTTGTGTGTTTTTTTTACAGTTAACGCTATAATGCTGTAATTCCACTTACATTCTACTTCAGTCAGAAATTTGACAATTTGTAATAGCCTAATATGCACTACTTTTTGAATCAATTCGCTTAGTATAATAAAACTTTCTCCTTGAAGGACATCTCATGTTAAGATACTTTACAACTTCAAGCCGGTTACACCTAACATCTTTGATAAAAAAATTTTGATCCCATCAAAGGAGATAATTTTTGAGCATCATTTTAAAAGTGCCGAGCTCTCCTTTTTGACAAGCGAATCTTCATCCTCTCAAGGACGCTTATGATACTATTTTCTCTTGTAAGAGTTATACCTATCTTCTTTTTTATACCCATATTAATATTAACATTGCAAACTTTCAATTGAAGATCTGAAAATAATATGTATATCAAAATGGCTCAAGCAGTAATAAATTTGCAAACGCGTTTTCTTAATTAAGCTGATGCTGATTTCGAAAGAAAATATGGTCTTAAGCAGACATTTAATCAAGCTCAACAAACATGGAAATCAGCAGTAATTAAACACTTTGCGGCTATTTATCAAGCGTTAATTAATGTATGTCAACCTACCAATAACCTCATTGATGCAATTGTCTTTTATAGGAAAGCGTTAGGTGTAATGTTGATCCTGTTTTGTTATTCCCCCTCCCTGACTGGGGTTCAGGAAGGGAAAATAACAAAACAGGATCAACATTTAAATATGTTGTTTCTAAGCTTATTGCCTTAAGTTGTTGTTTCTAAGCTTAATCTCTTGCTATAAGGCAACAAAAGCTCCAGAGCTTTTGTTGCCTAATAGCAAGAGATTATGCTCTTCTTGCTTCAAAATAGAATATTGTGGTCTCGCTGTATCTCTGCTCAGTTAGATAAATGCAACTATATTGTTAACCAGATAAATGCAACTATATTGTTAATCAGTCAGATAAATGCAACTATATTGTTAACCAGAAAAACTAAACGGGATTCATAATAAATACAAAAAAAAATTGAAAATGTATAAAAACACAACAAATTTAAAATGTGTAAGCTTAACGTGACATCCGGCCAGGTTGCGTAGAGCAAATATTTTGCGTTTTATTTACAAACTTTTATTTATTTTTAGTAATAAACATCCTATTACTGCAATGAATCCTGCAATGAATAAAATTCCTTGTTTTTTTTTGTTCTTAGCTTGGTTGATAAAAACCTGGTAACTCAGGTTTTGAAGGAAGTGAAAGGAGTCCATCACCATCTGTTTGATTTTTTTCAACAATCATTTTGCAATGAAGACTACCTTTAACATAAACATTTAGCTTAACTTTGGATTCTCCTTTAGCTTGGAGTCTAGTATTAAATTTATCCATAGATTTAGTTTTTTATTTCAATCAACTATTGCTTTTAGCAATTTTTCAATAGCTTTTTCATATTGTTTTTGCTTTTTAATTATTTTGCTTTTATCTTGTGAGAGAGTTAAG